GACGTGGCCACTAGGGGGAAGCAGGCGAGCCACTGCGGCGCTCGGCGCGATAAAGCCACGGGCAGAAGGGGCGGTGGGCAGAACCAGACCTGCGGGCGGCGGGGTGGGCAGGATGGCTTGCTGCGAGGCCCTTCCCCGAGACAAAAAGCCAACCGGACATTTGCTGAGGATGATCTCACCTGGCATTTACTGAGTGCTTGCGCTGTGCCGGGCACTGTATTGTAGACTTAGTCTTCACGACCCCCTTGTTATAATTATCCCCATTTTGCACGCTAGAAAACAGAGGCCCAGAGAGATGAAGCAACCTAGCCAGGGTCCTGCAATCCGTAAGTAAGCTGGGATCAACGGAGGTGGTGCCAGAGCCTGTCCCAGCCACGAGACTGTGTCCTATTTATATGCCTGGCATTGACTTTAAGTTCCACAATTCTTACCGCCACTACTATGGTTGTACCCACTTTATGGATGGGGAAGCTGAGGCTTGGAGACAGCCAGTGAGTCACCCACCCTGGTGAGTGACAGATCTGGGTGGGCGTGGCTCAGGGCTTGAGCTCTTGGCTCAGAATCAGTTCTCCCACAGAGGATTGTTTTCCACTCCCACTCCATGTCCTGGCTGGACGTTGCGTGATAATGAAATCTGAGCTTTCTGCTGAGAGTGGCGGTTCACCAACTCTCCTGCCTTCCAACAAGGAATGAGGGGTTCTGGGCTCTCATGCCCAAGCTTTGCCTGGAGTTTGACTAACCAGAGGTGGAGAAAGGCCATGCCAGAGGCTGCTAGAATCCCAGGGAGGGTCCAACTTGGAGGATGAGGGTGCTAGGGAGCACTCTGCGGTGTCCAAGGCTTCCTTGGGAATGACAGGTCCTGGCCCCGGGGCCTCTGGTTTCCAGGACAGATGCCTCCAGCATACCAAGGACGCTTGGCCGGCTCTGGCAAGCTGGCAGGGGAGCCGGGGCACTTCCAGGAGGGCTTGGCTTCCGCATCCTCCCATTCCCATGCCCTGGCTCTGCCCTCCCTGGGGGAGCAGGGGATGACCTATGGCTGAGCCTTCACAGTCCCCTCCTCGGTGCCCAGGCTGTACCTTGTCAGGCTGTCTGTCTTAGGGATTCACACCATCGAGCTGCTCCCGTGCCTTCTGATTTCTTAGCAAAGCAGCAGCGTCTAGTTCTGGCCTTACTGGCCTTACGTTTCTCGGGTGGGAGTGGGGAGGAGGAGTTGGAGGAAGAAGCTTAAATGGTCCCCTCCCTGGCAGGATGCTTCTCTTTAAAGAAAACCCTGGGGTGAATTTTCGTTTTGGAATCGGACTCCTAGAGTTAAGTGAAGACGCTTTAGGGGCTCTGTCTTCAGTCTTGGTGGGGACCAAGGGTGGTGGATCAAGGAGGAGGATCTGAACATGAACTTCACAGCACATTGCCTGGGCTGGAATCCTGGCTCTACCCCTCCCTGGGGTGTGAGCTTGGGGAAGTTGTCTAGCCTGGCCAAGCCTCAGCTTCCTTATCTGTAAAACAGGGTTGTGACGGCATCAGCCTCACAGAGTTGGCCTGAGGGTGAGATGATGCCGGGAGGGAAGCGTGGGCCTGGGACAAGCATTGTGAATGCCCAGTAAGTGCTTGTCTTCCTTGGTGTTCCTTCACCCGTGGTGCCTAACAGTGCCTGGCACAAACTGGATCTCTGATAGGTGTGTGGATAAATACAAAGGAGATACATATACATGAAAAGGCATTGTGGACTCCTGTATCACTTGAACCATTTTCCGGCACACTTATTGATGGCACTTCCCATCTGTTTCTTTGGAGACTGTCACGTTTGTCCTGGGGTACTTAGGCAGAGCGGACCTGCAAAATCGGCAGGGGTGTCAGGTTTAAAGCAGAGAGGGCTTTCTTCCTGGGGACCTGGCCCAGCCCCCTGTTGGAGGCTAGCATCCTCTGCTGCCCTGGGGCGAGACTCTGCTGCCCTAGGGTGGGACGGGTGGTGGCCAGGGTTGTGGTTTTTCTCTGATCACATTGGGAAATTCCTGAGAATCTAGACTGTGTCCCTTTCCCTGTTTACTGCCACTTGGTGATCTGGTACCGATTCCTACAGTGGAATTTCATATTTAAAACAGGATTCAGTGGGAACAAGGACCCATAACTTTCTAGAGGGGTTATAGGGAATAACACAGTGCCAGAATTTGGGGGAGCTAAGCCAGGCAGGTCCCTGTCCCAAAGGAGTCCTGTCAAAGAGTGGGGTGTGGGGAGATACTCACAAGGCACATGGGTTCACCCCATCGGCCACCAACCAAAAGATCGATAAGCTCAGGCAGCAACGGAAAGCAACATGCTGGAGTTTGGGAGTCCCCTGCCTGTCCCCTTCTGATGTCAGGTCTCTCGCATGCCGAGTCACAAATGGGGACAGCAATCAAGTGTGTGTTTGAACACCAAGGACATTTAAACTGGAGGAACAGGGAGTCAAATCTCCTGGAAGGGAAAGAGCCGGGGCTCTGGAGAACTTACCAGATGGGTGAAACCTGACCGGTTGCAGGCCGCCTCCGCCCCCTCCGTGCCCCTCTGATACTGGCTTCCACAGGCAGTTCTGAGGAACAAATGAGCCAATGGGGTTAGGGGCTCAGCACTGAGGAAGGGCTCCACAGATGTGAGTGGAATAGATCTACGACCTTGATGTTCACCTCAGGCTCAGCGGCGAGCATCCAGGCCCAAATGCATCCTGGTCCACTTTTGCTTCGAGTTTCAGGTAGCTGGTCTCTACTCTCCGACGTGGCTGAAAGAAGAATCCCTGTCTCCAGCTGTCCCCCTGAGAGCTGCCTTTTCGACTGGGAGGCCTGGGGTGAGCCCTTCTGCCCTTGCTGACTTACCTAAATGTCCTCCTGGGGAATCGCAGAACACGTTCAGTTTTGAAGGGTCAGGATGGTTTTGCTTTAAAATGCAGAATCAATCTGGGCTGTGCTCTGGCCTGGTTGCCCTAGTGGGGCATTAACTCTCTGTCACCTGGGCATGCAGGCTTGCCAGCCTCCCTGCCCGCCGGGTCCTGGTGTGAGTAGCGAGACTGTAGCTTGTCAGGAGGGGATGGGTGGGGCGGGAGGGGAAGATGCAGGAAGCGAGCTGCGGCTCCTGGACCCCAGTGGCCCAGGTCTATGGGTCAGAGGCGGCGCTGGCTTGGCTGGCCCCCGAGTCAGTGATGGATCTGCAAGAACAGGGCCACAGGCCACAGGTGAGAAGGCGTGGGAAGGGGGCCCTGGGAGCCCAGCCTCACCCTCAGAGCCCCTCCCCTTCCTGTCTCCCTGCAGCGTGTTGGCCACAGGACTGCCGCACAGTCTGGGACTGCCGGCTAGACCCGGGGACGCTGGTGGCTGCGGATTCCCCAGCTTAGAGCAGCCCCTGTTTGGTAAGTGGTGAGCCCCCCTGCGTTTCCTCTGGGAGCAGCCCCGGCCAACCCCCAGGGCACGGCAGGCGAGCTACATCTCTTGGCGGTGCGGGCAAGATGCTCAGGTTGCCTCCTGCCCTGGATCCTTGGCGCACCCTTCCTTCTGCAGGCGGAAGGGGCTCAGGGGCTGATGGAAGCCCTTGAGGACTGGCTAGGGGGAGCCAGGCCCCGTCTCCCTAGGATCTTCTCTGAGGCCAGTTCACTCTGTGCCAGGGGTACCATCTGGCCCTATGGCCTGGACTCTCGCCCCAGTGACCAGGAGCAAATCTAGGGTCCTGGAAAGGGATACATCTCAGCAGCCCCGGGGCCTCTGCTCCAGAGACTCTTAAGAGACTGCAGGAGCCCCAGAAGTCCACATCTGGGGTATGCTGGTCACCCGCACCCACAAGGTGGAGGGGGCTTGACACAGCTGTCCACCTGTCCTGGCCCAGTTGACACGATGAGCAGCTGCTGGCAGGTCACGTCTTGCGGAGAGCTGGGGTCCTTCCCGCACAGAGGTCGGGGGCCAGAAGGGGGCATCC